AATCTAGAGTTGCTCTTACTTGTGCTTGATATTTGTGATCAATAACATGATCCCGTGTCTGTTCTCTGACTGATAGAATTAATTTTCCTGCAATCATTCACTTGCAGACTGTTCACATTTATCACCTCCTTCCCACAAATGCCTTACAAAGTTGAACAGCTGCACAGATACAGACATTTGTGCTGCCCAACAACAAAGCATGGCTATTAGCAGCAAGCAAACACACTGAAGACGTGCAGCTTGGGTAAATTGAAGGGGTTTGAAAGCCTAGAGAACCATGGCAATTACTCATTTTTCTTCCACAGACTTATTTTTCCCCTAGCCCTGTCAATGACATCATCCTATTTACACATCTCGTCTGAACAGACACAGAATAAGGTATGTCTAAACAGTTCAGCAGCACTGCCTCAAGAGGCACTGATTCAGCACCCTGCTCTGCCTGTAACACCTCTCTCACATCCCACAGCCAATTGGCAATGGCCAAGCTGTAGATCCCTACTTGTACATCACACCCAATTACTTCTGCTCAAGGCCAGGCCGGATGTGGCTCTGGGCAGCCTGGTCTAGTGGTTGGCAAACCTGCATATATCAAGGGGTTGAAACTAGATGATCATTGTGGTTTTTTTCAACCCAGGCCATTCTATGACTATGATCTCCTTCCAACCGGGGCAAAACCATGGGTTTTTCCTCAGCAACATGGGACAGACTAGAAGCTGACAGAAGATAGATGGGCACAAAAATGCTAAAGCTATAGAGAAGAACATTTCTAGAAACTATCAAGAAGTACCTGTTGCTAAACACACAGCAACACAGCATCATACATCAACCTGACATCTGTAGATTCCATTTGTTAGCTGCAAAAATGTTAATAAAGTACTAATAAACTCACAAGGCAAAAGTTAAGCTTAGATGCTACCAGCAGAAACTGAATAGCAACAGGACCTGGGCAACAGCTTCAGGATCTCCAAGACAAAGTAGCTCTGACTTTTCCACAAACAAAAATAAGTGCAGGAAAATAAATAAATCACTGTTCCCTTTTGGTGGGCTCCTTGGCTGAGAAAAACCTGTTTAAGAAGTGAATTCAATACTAACCTCTGTGGTAAGACTGAGGCTCTACCCCCCTCTCCCCCCTACTTCCTACTGCCCACTGCAACTTCAGAGGCCAAATTCAGCAGGCTATCTCATGAAACTTCTCCAATTCCTCCATCTCCATGCCCTGCTTCACAAAACTCACAGCTAAACCAACCAGTCATCCTAACATTACAATGGATTCCCAAGCCCCTTCATGTGTGCTGTTGTCCCAGGACAGGGAATAATTGCCTTCCATTCTGCTGGAAACCAATAACCTTCTGACAGAAACCTGGGCAGAACCAGTCCCTTCTCATATCAACTTCCAGCAAAAACACAGCCTCTTTCTTGAGAGATCTTTCAGCACCACCAAACATATCACAAGTTGCAGTATAAAGATCCTCTCTAGAGAGCTCTGTAAGATTTTAATAGGCTGGTTAAAAGAGGAAGAAATTGCAGGATCATGTTGTGATTTCCACAGTATTTTACTTTTTCCTACCTTAAGAGCCTTGAAAAATCATACAAATGACAAACTAGCCAAAAAAACATCATCTTTTTGTTCTGCTGTCAGCGAGTTCCAGAGCAAGCAGTTTGATCCTATCAGTTTCCAAGTGATGTGTCTAGGCATCCAGGCTGCACAGCTAGGAGAGCCATTCAAGTCTTCTGGCTTTTAAATACATCCAGAAAGCTTGTTTAACAAGCCTATTTGGCACTGATTTCTTTCTTCCAATAAGTCACCTTCTCAGTTTTGTGATGAGACTTCCACCCTGTCATTGTTAGTCCTCTACACTAGATGCCAAAGAAGCTGTGCTCCTGCCTGCTTCTAAACCCACAGCAAACTGTATTTTCCAGGTGCGCAGAAGCACTCTCAGCTTGTCTTTGAGCCCCTCTACATCCTGTGTTTAAACCTACCCATGATCTTCACACTGACCTAAAACAGACCTTGTGACAACTCAGTAGTTTGTGAGCTCACACGTTTTAGTCTGCACAAATCCTTTTACCTGCACTGTTACACCACTGCCAGCATTCAAGAAGTGCTGGCTGAAGCTGTCAGCAATTTCCTCAAGGAAGGGTTTTAAACATGCTTGCTATCTGGCTTCCATCCTCCTAGGCAGTTCCACAATACCATCAGTTACTCACAAGTGTGTGCAACACTCCATTCCCTGAAATCATGAGAAGGCAGATCACAACTGAGAACAACTTATGTACTGACATTAACCAAAACCTACTCTATCTTACCTACTGACCTACACTCAAGAGCACTGCATGGATAAATGCAGGCCTTTCTAGCAGCGTGCCATAATTTGTGAACAGCGTAATTTCTGAACATAGGTAGAAGAGGAACAGCAGATGGGACAATTTCACCTACAGCATCCTGAAGTTCTACTGTATCAGGCAAGGAGGTTTCACTGATAGTCAAAAAAAAGTAATTCTTGTTGAGAATCCCAAGCCAACTAAACTTACATAGGTAATTGTCTGACTAGCCTAGAAATTCCTTCATCAGAAGACTTAATTACTATATCCCAGTTTTATTCTGTATGTCACAGTTAAAATGGGCCAAAAGGGACCATTCTTTCAGCAAAGTTGTTGTACTGTTTTTCTGTTACCCCATCTCATCTACCTGTTCATCCCAGACTTAATCACTTTAAAAAAAAAAAAAACAGTGGAAAACAGAAATTCTCACTCAAGATGAAGAGGAGATGTGTGCCAGGCATACTACAGAATAGGACTTCATAGAGTTTGGTAGCACACAAATAGAAGTTATTTGGGACACAAAGATTTACATTTAATGGGAATTAACACAGCACTCTGAGTACTTCAGGGCTACATTAACTAAGATGCACACAAACCATACCTCACAAGGAACCTCTGACCCCCAGCTAGGGATGAAAGGAGCAATGAGGCCATGAATCAGTAAGGTATGCAACTTCATATTCACATTAGAATGCTATTTAAGGCAATATGGCAGAAGAAACTGAACAGCCCCCCTGGTCTGTCAGACAGAGCAGTCTATCACATAGCACCTCCAAGGTTCATAGCAAATAAAACTTAACATGCTGGACTTTTTCAGCAAGTACAAAAAAAGTCAAATAAATGAAATCAGGCCACTCCACAATAAGATGTTATCACAAATATCACACTCAGCCTCTACTCTGCCCCATACAGAGCCATACTGTACAAAGATACGTTGCATAACTTCTGGTATAAGAGGAGATGTATTGCCAAGCTTCAAGTACCTTTATAAGGGAGAGGTATGACAGACCCAAGGCAAAGTTTCATTTCATCCATATAGAGTGCCATCAGCCTGGCCAGGACACCAAGCTGAAAACCCAAGAGAATTCTGCTTCTTAATGACATCCTGCACTGCCACAAAGGTGAGCACAGCTACCAGATCTCATGGGACACATTTCAGCTAAGAGCTTCTCAAACCTCAACTTGTGCATGCATCAGCACAACCCAATTGTTCTGCCCACAGTCCAGCTGCACCATCAGCCTGTGAGCCAATCGGACCAGTTCTCTGCTTGCCCTACCTGTGCACAGCAATGCCTCTCTGACACCTGCCCATTTTTCAGATCCTCGGAAAAGCAGCTGAAATGCCACTCAGGCTTGCTGGTATCCCTCAGCAGCACTGCTCACAGCCCATTCTTCCAGTTTTCCTCCTGCCACTGTAGCAGCATGACCTTTTCATTATTGTTTCCTTGCCCTGGACTCATTCAGTGCTTGGTATAATGGCACAGACTAGAAATTATTTCTTTTACTGGCTATTTCCATTAGGTATCGTACACTATTTCATCACTACTTACTGTACACTTATGGAGCAACAATAATGAACGTGCCCTTGTGGCTAGAAATGACACCATTTTCTATTACTCCCTAAGAAAAGGAAGAAAAGAAAAACTCACGTCTCAAAGCCTTTCTGCTCACACCAGGCGATGAATACCTCCGAAGCAGCGTCCCAGGAGTGACAACATCAAATAAGGTACAGACATCTGACGGGAGCCTCGGCATTTAGAATTCTTTCTTCTGATGCTAGCAGAGGATCACCCTGATGCTAAACTCCTGTTCTGCAGTTCTCCAGTTGCCAAGGGCAGGTATCAGGTGCTGTGAGCCTGCATTGTACAGCTCTGCTGCATGAAAGCTTAATCTCGTTATGTGATAAATAGTCTTGACACTGAACGTGCCATGTGGCGCACACTCAACTGGCTGCTTTAGTCCCTTTCCCGTGTGAGTCCTGCACAGCAAAGGGCAGCACCACAGCTGATACTGCATGTAGTAAATCCTAAGTAACAGCTGACCAGACCAGAGTTGAATTGCCACAGCAAGCAAGAATCGCTTGCAACATCAATGTTGGGATATTGTAAATTCTTCAGAATTAGTCAGGTTTCCCAGACTCCCCAGACTCATGGTTGACTTGCTACAAAACAGAACCCTCAAAAGGAAAATAATGAAAAAAATCTTGCCACAAGCAAGATTGGGATTCGCTGCTGGTTGTATTTTCATCCTGGCACATCACGTGTGAAGTATTCCTGCAGTAAGGGACTATTCTGCTCTTTCACATCAGTTCATGCACAGAGAGCACAACCTTCCAAACCATTAAACACAGCTTCTGAAGCCAGCCCCATGGTTACTTCCAGAATGAAAAAGCACTGTCAAAACAGCTGCTGTAATGTTTCCCCACACTGCACTCCCCACAGTCCCCAGTCAGGAATTCCTGACCGTAAGAAACCTTTGTTTCACATCCCAGTTCACTCATGGATAGCCTATACCCATTTACTCCTGCATTACCATGTAAACTAACAGTGCCTTCCCACTTTCACTAGCTTACATAAAAGCCAGTTCTGATTCCTTCATATAGACAAGATTCAACAGTTAATGGAGCAACCCAAAAACACCCAGTCCCTTTTGCTTACAAACAGATAAATGGTTTTTACCTTCAGCTTTCAGTATTTCAAGCCATGACTTGTGGCAGTGCCTTCTTACAGCTTCTTACTGTTCATTCAGGTGTCCCTTGTCAGAAAAACCCAAGCTAGGAAAGCCTGCTAGCATAAGACCTTGATCTCTACTTGTACAAATATGTGCAATTTTAAATGCTATTTTTCATAAATTGAAGGAGTGACTCAATTTTGAATGCTGTACATGAAACTCTTCGCCCCATAACAGTACAACTGAACAACACATTCAAGTGTAAAACTAGTTTGCTTCATATTTTACAGCTATCTCCCCTGAACCACACTACTGCCCAGAGCACAAGCATGCGAGCCAATAAACTCACTTGAAATCACATGGTTTTGATTACCACTCTCCATTTGCTTTTTTTTTTTTCCCCCTTTCTTTTTTTAACATTCAGAGTTGAGCATCTAAGTCCATAGCTGCTACAACCTAAAGCAAGCTGACATTTCTTGCATTAAATTATTTCAGAAATCTGGGCTTCAAGCTTCTGAAACCCTGTGGTAACGAGGACACATTTCATAACAGTTAAAAGTCCTTCTCCACGTTAATAATTGCTTACTTGCAGATGAATTCATTGACTTTTACCTAAACTGTGTTTTAAATGCAGCTTTCAAATGTTTGGAGTGCCATACAACAAAATCGTGCACTTTTACTATTTTTAAAAATAAATAACAGAATGAACAGCACTGCAAGTAAACCTGTCTTACTGCAAGTACTGAAGGGTATTTTCCCATACAAATAAAGAAAATTTGTTCTTAGCCTACAACAATTACTAATTCGTAGTAGCAGCACTGCCTTACGTTTTCTTTCCAAAACTTTATTTTTGGCTAAACTTCAGACCTATTATTGAATTAAGCTTCTTGAGCAGGACTTCTCCCATTCACTTCTATACTTGACAAACTTCACATCAAAGTTACTCAGCTCAAAACACCACGTGCTCCAGCAGTGCTGATGATTAAGGTCCCCAATACTACAGGGAGCATCATAAAACCAAGCCCATCTGCAAATCTCACATTCTAGGTGATTCCTTTCAGCTCCACTAAATGCACAACCTAAGCAGGCTTTTCACTTGCAAGCCTAAGAACTCCCAGTCCTTTAAAAAAAAGAAAAACAAAAATCAGTTGCATCGCTGTTCCAAGCCCCAAAATAGGTCTTCAGACACCTTTATTTATCTTAATGCTTTTAAAAAAAAATAAATAAATAAAACCTAGAGGAGGGGAAAGAAAGAAAAATCTGTGGGAGCAGCTGCACAAATATTGCAGCTGCCAGAGACAGAGCTACTCTCCAGCATCCAGATTTCATGTTTTGTGTTGTGCAATACACTTTGCAGTGGATAACCACAGTGACTTCACATGCACGTGACAAAGGGTTTTGATCTCAGTTGTGGCTGTGAGGCAAAAAAAGCTCCACGCACAGCCACCAGAAGACAACACACTCAGGTCTGTGTGCCTAGAGAGTAGCTAGGCATCCAGAGGTTTAGAGGAAACTCCCAGACATCAAAGTTATAGAACTGATATACTGCTTGCTGTGACTTCATGTGGACAAACACCTTGAAACTATCATAGAAAGCAAAGTTCCTTATGGTACAAGGATTTACATGAACTTTTATCTCAACATCCTTCAAATCAATAAAAGCTCCTACCCATCCTAATGCCCACGCATTTCCCACTGAAGAACAGCAAGCTATCCAGGACAGCAAGGGTCTCTGCCAAGCTGCCTGCTGCAATCATTCAGCTTCTTCAAACAAGCAGCAAAAATATCAGGTTATTTTCCTCCCAGTTAATGAACTTCCAAACAAAACAGAATTGTGACAACAAACAGCAGCTATGACAGGCAAAAGTCATCCCTGCGGCCCAGCATGCTACCTTGGGCTGAGGTTTAGGTCTCAGTAGCAAGCAGAACTAACACAAGCACAGGATGTCACTCTCAATTAGCTACCCCTTAACTCTAGGTTTTCCCCTTATTAATCACAACTTTTTCCAGCAAGTATTTGTGCATCTGAATTATACTTGAAGTCTAACGTGGACAGTCCTACCTCCTATTTCTTGCAAACCCACCACTCCTGCTCTTAGATATACCCCTCTTAGGGCTCCTGTACTGGTAGAAATATTACCTCTTCTCTCAGGTAAGCAGCAATAGGGCAAGAGGGAATGGCCTTAAGTTGCAGCAGGAGAGATTCAGATTGGATACCAGGAAACATTTCTTTTTAGGAGGAGTGGTGAGGCAGTGGCACAAGGAGTTGTCCAAGGAGGTGGTGGAGTCACCATCCCTGGAGGTGTTCAGGAACCATGGAGATGTGGCAATGAGGGGCATGGTTACTGGGCATGGTGGGGATGGGTTGGACTGGATGAACATTTCCAGCCCTAATGATTTTATGATTCTGTTATTCTATAAAATTGCCTGTTCACCCTCCTGACGCCAATCAAACTTTTTAGCTTCTATAGAACTTCACACGTCTGCTCCATTTGGAATGACCCAGTTAATTCTTAGAAGCAAAAGACACAAAAAACATCATTCCTTAAGATGCAGTCTTCTTAACTGATGTGACACTTAACTGCACAGAACTAAATATAGGAAAAAAGTATCTTATTGCAAGAAGCTATATAAACACTGCTGAAGGAATTCAGCACGAGTTGTTGAAATTTGGTCTTGTTGGGCCACAGAACATAGAAGCCCTTCTAAATGAAACTGTACTGCAGTGATCAGAACAAGTTCATTCAAGTTAACAGCACCATGCTCCTTCAATACCCCCAGCCCAGCAAAGAGTGGCATTTTGATCAGAAAGGCCTAACAAAACCAGAGTTGGGCTAGACAAACAGAATGAGCTCAAACAGTTAACAGGTAAATTGCAGACCGTGACTGCAAATGAGACACTATCTCAGTGCAGGTGGTTTGCTGTCTCAGGGGAACTTGCTTATTTCACTGCTTAGCCAGTGGCTTAGAAGTAGAAATAAGAACTGTGCAGCTGACAAGTAGCAGGGAAGCTGCTAGAGACAAACAGGAAAGGCAGCTGACAGCCACCAATCTGTGCATTCTTACTCAATAGATGCACGAGTGGCAAAGAACTGACAACAGTCAACAGTGCTGGGGGTCTGCTCAACACAGCCACCAGCATCACCACCAGGTAATTTAATGAGGACAGAAAAAATTGCAATAGATCTTCATATTGCAGCAGGACTGCACCTAAAGCATCACCTCCAGTGAGAATATTCAAATGTTTAAGAGTGTTTCAGAGAACTGGAAAGCATTTCAAGGAATAAAGAACTAGAGAGCACATTGACAGAATTGGGTTTTCCACTTCTAAAAAAAATTCTGACAATTTAAAGAGAATACATCCTTCACTTTTCTTCAAGTCTAACAGCTAACTTACAGTGTGTTCACCCACAGGAGAGTTCACAAACAAATGCCAGCCCAGTGCTACAGTTTAACTGCCACAATCTGCACTAGGAATTTTTAAAAAGAAACTCAGGTCAAGCACTCCCCCACCTAATGTGTATAAAGCAAAGTAGCAGCAGCTCCAGGAAGAAAGCATATTTCTAAAGGCCATTTGGTCACCATAAACACCAAGAAGCCTGCAGTGAAGACAGCTAAGTGTAATAGGATGCAAATCACTTCAACCTACCCACTGTGAATTACAACTCTATTTTTCCCCAGTGTGTTTTAAAAATCACATACTGAATCAAGCAACAGGAGCTGAAGAGGTCCTGAGAGCTGCTATGTGCTATAGCTGCACCAAGAGCTCACAGGGGATTTCTGTTTCTTGTTACTTCAAGACACAGCCTCATCAGAAGCCCAACCTATTACCTGGGAGGCAATTCTCTTGAAGGGATCTCCATTTCTGTCTCTCTGAATCCCACCTTCAGGACCAGTTAAAGCCACCTTCACACACTTAGCCTTTTGTGTGCATGCATGTACTTAAAGTAGGGTTAACTTCAGAATTATCTCATTTAGGAATAGAAGCAGAGAAAAGTCCAAACAAAGAAAAACACAGCTGGGAAACAAGGCAGCAAATCAAAGAAGCAGCAGACAACTTTAGGCATCACGCATGAAGACACACGAGTTTTAAGCACATTTATTTTTAACACAACCCACAGTATCACACAGTGGATGATACTTTTTGCAACTACAAAGCCTGCCACAACACAAGAATTTCATGGGAATGGGAGATCAAACTTTGCTTTTTCCTTTGTCTGTAACTCCACATGGCACTTAGCTGATTTCATAGAATGGTTTGAGTTGGAAGTTTGGTCCCAACCCCCTGCTATAGGCAGGGACACCTCCCTCTAAACCAGGTTGCTCCAAGCCCCATCCAGCCTGGCCTTGAGTGCTTCCAGAGAGGGGGCATCCACAGCTTTGCTGGGCAACCTGTTCCAGTGCCTCATCACCCTCACAGTAAAGAATTTCTTCCTGATATCTAGTCTAAATCCACCCTCTTACAGTTTAAAACTATTTCCCCTCATCCTGTTGCTACACGTCCTTATGAACAGTCCCTCCCCAGTTTTTCTGGAAGAGGGAATTCTGGCACTTCGCTTTGTCCCTTACATAGGTAACATGCCCTCCCTTAACTCTTCACCCAAGGGGAACCTAATCCCTGGATAAACAGAATGAGTGTCACCATACAGGTACAGAACTACACCACCACTGAAGCACTTAACGGCTTATTAACAGTTGATTTAATAGGAGTTATTGTCTTCCCCCAGCACAAACACAATTTAGATAAATATTACATAAATTCAGAGTATTGCCTCTGCGCTCACACAAGGAATTAATTTGGTTTCTTATTTCTACCTACACAGGACGATGGCACCTAACCAAAAAAGACCATGCAGCTTATTTCCAGTTCTCTGTTGTGCAAACTTTCCAACACCACATGCAATTTATTTGCTGCTGAAAAACAAAACAAAACAAAACAAAAAAAAAACACCTTATCTTACAGCCTGCATGCACATTACTGGGAACAAACACGTAAATGTTCTGCACATCTCAAATAATAAGAAAAAAAGAAAACTGCTGCTTTATTTTAAAAAGAAATCTGCTTAGTAACTCTAAAATCCACTGAAGATCCCCTATCTCGTGGGCGATTACAATCAAAATGCTCATTGTAAGTTTGCACCAGTGAGCTTGTTATCTCTGAAAGCTTACTACAGACATTTACGAACGAGAAAAGATGTTAAGACGAGTATCGCCAATCCGAAGACTAATATTAGCCTGGGGATGGCAGAACGCACAAAGATCTTTTGATACCGAGTCCCACGAGTGGTAGGATCGCACATCTTTCGCTCGCATCCCCCGAAAGCGATAGAAAGGCTTGCTGCTGAGGAAGGCTGAGAAGAACAGCGTAGAGCCAGGCGCACGGAACGCAGCACCCCTCGGCAGGGCAGAGCCACCGAGGACGCACCGACAGCTGCCGCCT